TCCCACTATCAGTCACTATCAAATTCTATCCTTCTAGCCTTAAAACACATGGAAGTCAGCCGTTCTGAATTTCATTCGATTAACCCAGTCCACTATTTCACAAGATATGCTTCGGCCTAACAAAATACCACTTCACAACTTCGACCTTCTCGTCAACCCTGCTCGGAGCGACTAATTTTGGCCGGGCTTCTATCGCCCTTCCCTTTTATTCTGTTACTTAAGAAGAGAATTAATGGAAATTTTTTTCAAGAAAAAAGGCCCAAAAAACAAGCGAACCTGTTTGTTTTCAACGGCATTTTGGTCATGTGACGAGAGCGGGGTAACGCCAGGCTGTGAGCCTGAACGTGTACGTTTTATTTGTTGTTGTATTTGCCGAGCAGCAGCAGCAGCAGTAGCAGCAATATGCTCTATCTTGTCCGGCGTGTCCTGCAGTATCTCGTCGGATGATTCCATCAGTTTCAGGATGGAAGGTGTTGGTGTTTTTGTCACTTCCATTTCGTTGATTCGATTCATTGAGCTAAAAATACTCTTTGAAAAAAATGCTAAAAATACTTCAAAATACTCCTTTTTCACTGCAAAAATTGCAAAAAATCGATGGTAATGCATTAACACCTTAATTTTTGGAATTCATACTTAAATTTTAGCAGTTTTTACCTTTTTCCGCATCCCCACACTCCTCGCCCGCCCCCTTATCATTTCCAAAGGACAGTGCACGATAAAAATTAACTGCTCAGGAAATTTCAAATACAAATAAACTTCAGCTGAAAAAAGGCTCTTGTTCAGATAACGCAAATTTTAGGAAAAAACGAGACTGGTGCGCGAAAGAACTTAAAAAGTCAGAAAACTGCAACAAAAAAAAAAATCGTAGAAAAGCTGGGATGAGCAAAATCGCATCAGATTTCTTCCTTTTGTAAATTTTCCATATTTTACATACCGGAAACTGCTACTAGCCAATCATGGACGAGAACTAACTGTGTGCGATTACTGTGTCCAATTTCACATACCGTAACTGTCCTTTACCGTAACTGTTTTTAACCGTAACTGTTTTTAACCGTAACTGCTGTTTACCGTAACTGTTTATTCTGACTTACCGTAACTGT